TATATTTCCCTCTAGAATTGCTATAAGTTGCTTCGTAAGAGTATGGCAACTCTGTTAGAGAATAGTTCACGAATGCTCGCGACATTAGAATGGTTTTCTTCCTGGACACTTTATTATTCGTGGGAAGTTTTTGCTGTATATTCTTCAGCGAAACGCGTATCCTTGTTCTCGCTAGTTTCACTGGAGATGCGTCTCGAGTTCTGAATGACACTTGAGGAGGAAAGTGAGTGTCAGAAGTTGTAGCAGGATACAATAGGGCTTGATCTGTACAGGTGAAGCGAATAGAAGGTGGAAAGTGTCTATCGATAAGTGAATAAGGGAGAGAAAAGAGCGGAGCAAGTAGAAACTGTCGGTATATAGTCAGACGTGGCTCAACTTCTACGCAGAAGTGACTCTATTGGTTTGTAGCTTTTGTCCTTGTGAAATAACCGAATCTTTTGAGAGAATGTGAGAAGAAATTTTTAAATTGAATCAATCCTTTGCCTTATGCACACTCATGCAGTAAGTTATGGCAATGATATGAGTCACTCTGAAGCCAAAGTTATTTTCTAACTTTCGACAAATAAATTTCAAACTCCACTTTTTGAAATTCTTCCAAATTTCGATACTTACCTCTGTATAAATACACAAAATTTAATTTGAAAATTTCAACAAATAAATTTCAATCCGCACTTTTTGAAATTCTTCCAATTTCGATACTTACCTCTGTATAAATACACAAAATTTAATTTGAAAATTTCAACAAATAAATTTCAATCCCCACTTTTTGAAATTCTTCCTAATTAGTATCAAACCACACGTTAAATAAAAAAATTTAATAAATTCCATTTGACGATGTTAATCACCTTGACAGTCCTATTCGTAAAAAACTTTCATCTCAATTCTAATTTTCGTTTTGATTTACTAGTCTAACTATCACGTAGAGAGCATATTTTCCATTTCATTTCATACACTATTAAAGCAAGGAATACCTAGCATTACAGCAGCCACTTAAAAATCATAAGGTAAGGGGTTAACAAAGAAGCAATTACGATCACCGCAAAATTGATCGTTGAATTAATTGGATCGCAGGGAGAGCGCGAGCCCTTCGTGCCCATTAGACACGAATCACCCCTTGGTGATCATTAGAAACCGATCGTGGACGATCAGTGTAGCGGTTGATTAATGCATCAAATTACTCCTACGATCTATCCTTTGTTCGCCGTTCAAAAATTCGAATAATACCGTTCACTCGATATTCAGGAACAGCAGAAGAAGAATTGCATAATGTTACACGATTGTAGAAAATTCCCCGGGGAAAAAAACGTAGAGAAATCATTAACCTTTGGGAAGAATTGCCGATCTGCGTACGCACTGGCCAGCTATTCGAAGCTCAGCTCGACCTAAATGCTCGCGAATTTCGTAGAAGCTGGTCGAACGTTGATCGAGCACTTTTTGAAATTCTTCCAATTTCGATACTTACCTCTGTATAAATACACAAAATTTAATTTGAAAATTTCAACAAATAAATTTCAATCCCCACTTTTTGAAATTCTTCCTAATTAGTATCAAACCACACGTTAAATAAAAAAATTTAATAAATTCCATTTAACGATGTTAATCACCTTGACAGTCCTATTCGTAAAAAACTTTCATCTCAATTCTAATTTTCGTTTTGATTTACTGGTCTAACTATCACGTAGAAAGCATATTTTCCATTTCACTTCATACACTATTAAAGCAAGGAATACCTAGCATTACAGCAGCCATTTAAAAATCATAAGGTAAGGGGTTAACAAAGAAGCAATTACGATCACCGCAAAATTGATCGTTGAATTAATTGGATCGCAGGGAGAGCGCGAGCCCTTCGTGCCCATTAGACACGAATCACCCCTTGGTGATCATTAGAAACCGATCGTGGACGATCAGTGTAGCGGTTGATTAATGCATCAAATTACTCCTACGATCTATCCTTTGTTCGCCGTTCAAAAATTCGAATAATACCGTTCACTCGATATTCAGGAACAGCAGAAGAAGAATTGCATAATGTTACACGATTGTAGAAAATTCCCCGGGGAAAAAAACGTAGAGAAATCATTAACCTTTGGGAAGAATTGCCGATCTGCGTACGCACTGGCCAGCTATTCGAAGCTCAGCTCGACCTAAATGCTCGCGAATTTCGTAGAAGCTGGTCGAACGTTGATCGATTGAATTCGATTGAATTCACAGGACGAGGGATGAAAGAGAGAGAGAGAGAGAGGGGATTATTGTGAACGAGCATGGCCGTTTCGTAGCACCCTCTGCGGTTTTCATATTAATTCTCTTTTTCCAGCTCGGGGAAAACGCTTTTTTCCCTCGAGGAGGACTGCCAAAGGGAGGAGAGAGGAGGGGAAACGCGACGGTAATTCGAGCGTTTCCGATTTTTGCGGCACGCGCGTTCCGTTTCCCTCGTTTCTGCCCGATTTGATCGTTGTAGTTAGGTGAACCCGACTCGCGCCGTTTCGATTATAAAAGGTATTTCGCGGGGATTTTTCGCGTCGACCGAAGCGCGATCTTCGGTTCAGTCGAATATTTTTTGGACCCGTGAAATTTCACGTTGGATGGAAAATCTGGTGAAGCACCGTTAAAAAATAAACTTCGATAAACGACAATTCACGGACAGTCGAAAGTGTTGGGAAAAGTGTCGAGTTGCATGGAAATGTTCTTCTGGTGTTCTGGTACACTTGTGAAACAGTCTGAACCACGATCGAATCGCAGTCGGCATACGTTATCAGGTACACGCGATCCATATTCACGAGAGGTAAGGATCAAACGAGAGAAAATGCATGCAAATTTCGCTGCAAAAGAAAGGGAAAAAGAAGCACAGCTTCTAGGAGGAACGAGAAAGGACTCTCGTAGGGATGCAACGCGGAAAGAGAAATTTAAAGAGAACTAGTTCCAGGTGTAATTTTCTAAACGACTCACATATTGGTTCTCTATGAAATCCTACGATCGTTTCGCTGGTGGAGATTCGGTTGGAGAACGGATGCTTTCATCGGTTGGGAAAGAGAAGAGAGACCCAACGGGAGATTTCCCCCTTGGAAATTCTCTTTTTTAAACACACCTTCTCCCCTCTCTCTCTCTCTCTCTCGGTCCCCGGAGACGTTCCTTCTTTGCACGGTTTTTTAATTTCATTCGCGTGGAGCGTTTTAGAAAGGCTTTGCACAAAGGAAGAGCCGGCTGAACGTTATTCTTTCAACGCAACGGCGACTTATTACCGCGATGAGTTTTTACGCGTTTCAGAGGTTCGAGAATCCTTTGAAGCGCGGAGAAACTAATGATATTCTTTTGTAATGTTGTGGACGGGTGTATCCGAGTGCGTGGTGTAATACGTTTGAGTGAAATGTCGTTTGTATTGTACTTTTTGGATTCGGGGAATTGGAATTGAAATGAAATTAAAGTGAGGATTTTTCACTTTGAGGACGTTGTACGGTGATTGTATCGAGGGTGGAAGGTGTATGTGTGGGGTTAACTTTGTTCGAAGATGTGTGTACTAATTAAGTTTGGTTCTGAAGGAAATGTAAGGGCAGTGATAACCTAATGCTGTAATTTCTCTCGTAGTTATTTACAGTTCGTTTACTCGACAAGCTCGTACACGATAATCGAAAAATTCCATCTCGATTCATCACGAGAGGTTAAAGAAATCTTCTTAATATTCCTCGTGCATTCCAGCATTCCTGGTGTCACAAAGAAATCAGTATGAAGCCTTGTAACATTCTTTATGCATTCCAACATTCCTGGCTTCACAGGGAAATCAGTACGAATCCTGGTAGCATTCCTCACGCATTCCTGGTCTCACAAAGAAATTAGTATGGAGCCTCATAATATTCCTTATACATTCCAACATTCCTGGCTTCACAAAAAAATCAGTGTGAAACCTCTTAACATTCCTTATGCATTCCAACATTCCTGGCTTCACAAAGAAATTAGTATGGAGCCTCATAACATTCCCAATGCATTCCAACATTCCTGGCTTCACAAAGAAAACAGTATGAAGCCTCGTAACATTCCCAATGCATTCCAACATTCCTGGCTTCACAGAGAAATCAGTACAAATCCGCACAACATTCCTCACGCATTCCAGCATCCTCAACCTCACAAACGAGAATGGAAACGTTGCACGCTCAACTTCCAACGAGCCTCTATCCACGATTATAGCTAGTTCGTTCCTTCCGATCAACTTGTTCACAATTAAGTCAGGCTACGTCGCGAGGCCTGGAACGCGAGATGGAACGAATAACCGTAGGATGAAGGAACGGTGAGCAATTTAGCGGCTTTTCATCGAGTCTCTCGCCTTCCTTCGATGAAATTATTCTCCGTGGAGGAAAAGGAGGGGAGGAGCAAGGGGGCGGCGTATGCGGCCATTTTCTGGCTCTGTGAACCGCAAAAAAAGTGGTGGACCACCGCCGCGAGCCGGACGACGTGCCTCCCTTGGTCACGCTCGGTTGAGCGGAACCGAAACCGGAACCTATTTGGAGAATTACATCCGGAAGCATTTCCTGCCCCCCCGTTGCTGTCCAAGCAACTTATTTATGTGCTTCTCCCTTGGATTCCTCCAAACGCTTTCTTTTGCCGCGTTTTTTTTCTCTTCTTTATCGTCTCTTTAGTCGTGTTGGCAATCGACGAAGGAAGGCTGGAATTTCGTTCTCGGTTTGCTCGGGAACGCTTGGTTCCGGTGTGCTGGACAGCTTGCGGACGATTGGAAGATTTTTTCGTAGTGATTGCAAGAGAGAGCTGCTTTGGGAAGATTGTCGATTTAGGTTGCAGAATTTTTCGACCGCTCGGCGAAGCTGAGAATTTCTGATTTGTCGATGTTTACCCTTTAACTACTCGAAAATCACTTTGTAAATTAATAGTCACTGTGTATGAAGCATGTTCAGGAAGTTAAGTTATCACTGTAAAGTGTCTTTATTAAAATGTTATAATAAAAATACTAAATACGAAGGAATGATAGACTTGCAATTATTGTATACAAGACAAGAATGGCACCGGTGGGAATTACATTCCACAAATGTGTGCTGGAGAAACATTCCAACATTCCTGGCTTCACAGAGAAATCAGTACAAATCCGCACAACATTCCTCACGCATTCCAGCATCCTCAACCTCACAAACGAGAATGGAAACGTTGCACGCTCAACTTCCAACGAGCCTCTATCCACGATTATAGCTAGTTCGTTCCTTCCGATCAACTTGTTCACAATTAAGTCAGGCTACGTCGCGAGGCCTGGAACGCGAGATGGAACGAATAACCGTAGGATGAAGGAACGGTGAGCAATTTAGCGGCTTTTCATCGAGTCTCTCGCCTTCCTTCGATGAAATTATTCTCCGTGGAGGAAAAGGAGGGGAGGAGTAAGGGGGCGGCGTATGCGGCCATTTTCTGGCTCTGTGAACCGCAAAAAAAGTGGTGGACCACCGCCGCGAGCCGGACGACGTGCCTCCCTTGGTCACGCTCGGTTGAGCGGAACCGAAACCGGAACCTATTTGGAGAATTACATCCGGAAGCATTTCCTGCCCCCCCGTTGCTGTCCAAGCAACTTATTTATGTGCTTCTCCCTTGGATTCCTCCAAACGCTTTCTTTTGCCGCGTTTTTTTTCTCTTCTTTATCGTCTCTTTAGTCGTGTTGGCAATCGACGAAGGAAGGCTGGAATTTCGTTCTCGGTTTGCTCGGGAACGCTTGGTTCCGGTGTGCTGGACAGCTTGCGGACGATTGGAAGATTTTTTCGTAGTGATTGCAAGAGAGAGCTGCTTTGGGAAGATTGTCGATTTAGGTTGCAGAATTTTTCGACCGCTCGGCGAAGCTGAGAATTTCTGATTTGTCGATGTTTACCCTCTAACTACTCGAAAATCACTTTGTAAATTAATAGTCACTGTGTATGAAGCATGTTCAGGAAGTTAAGTTATCACTGTAAAGTGTCTTTATTAAAATGTTATAATAAAAATACTAAATACGAAGGAATGATAGACTTGCAATTATTGTATACAAGACAAGAATGGCACCGGTGGGAATTACATTCCACAAATGTGTGCTGGAGAAACTGGAACACCATGTGTATCTTCGAAAGATGAAGACATTTCACATTCCTCTTTCCTAAACATTCATTCATAAGACTTCAACTGAATGATTTTCACACTTCATATTTCTGTGTATTTATTTTTTTAAGGCACTTCACATTCCTCATTCCTAAACCTTCCTTCACAAGTCTCCAACTGAATGATCCTCACACCTCATTCCAGACATTATGTTTCCATTCTTCAGTTTTTGGAGATATTACACATTCCTCATTACTAAACCCTTCCCTCACAAGATTTCAATTGAATGAGACTCACACCTCATTCTATTCATCATATATTCCTGTCTTTTTTTAAGACTTCACATTCCTCATTCCTAAACCTCATACCTAAATTGTATCAGTCTCACTCATCATATTTCCGTGTCTCCTTTTTTTTAAGATACTTCACATTCCTCATTCCTAAACCTTCCCTCACAAGACTCCAACTGAATGATCCTCATACCTCATTCCAGGCATTATATTTTTATTCTTCATTTTCTGGAGACACTACACATTCCTTATTGCTAAACCTTCCTTCACAAGACGTCAGCTGAATGATCGTCACACCTCATTCCATACATAATGTGTCAGTGTGTTCATTTTTCAAAGACACTTCACATTCCTCATTCCTAAACCTTCCCTCACAAGACTCCAACAGAATGACCCTCACACCTCATCCTACACATTATGTTTCCATGTGTTTATTTTTTTAAGACTTCGCATTCCTCATTCCAAAACCTTCCCTCGCAAGACACGAACTGAGTGATCCTCACGCCTCATCTTACTCCCACGTTTCCATCTTTAGTATCAAAAAGTTCGCCAAAAGACAATAGCCTCCAAACTGGTCTCCCTGATCCAATATTCCTCACGACGAAACAGCAATATGAAGACCAGCATCCAAGAACACACACACACACACCCGGTTCGTTCATTTTCCCTCAAAGAACCCCGTGGAGTCGAGTAAAGCCAGGGAGCAGAGACAAAAATTATCCCCCGGGGGAATAAAGTGACTCCGACTATCAGAAAAAGACAGAAGACCGAGGGAAAGTATAAACGGACGAAGGAGAAGGTTGGTCGTATCGTGGTTAAAAAGTCGCCAGCAATTCTTACGGTTAAGAATCGTGACCGACTTGATCCACCCTCCCCGCTCGCGACTTTCTCAACGCCTCTGTCCCGCGGCCGATGGTGGCACAATGGCGAACTCGCGCGACGACAGTCGCCCCCGCAGAATGTTTACAATAATCTGAGCGGAGGATCTGCCGTGTGTTATCTATAGAAATACAACGGCTAGAAGAAGAGAGGAGGGTGTACCGAGGGGGGCGGTAGGATTGTTGGCCGCCTCCATTTTCCATTGTTCCGTACCTACTGGGGGGGAAACGCGCTGAGATCGCGCGTTTCTTACATTGCAACCGGAGAGCTTTTATAACGGTTGCACCCGGCGCGAGTGAGTGCGGGAGGCGAAGAAAGGCCGACGATAAAAGAGCCGTTAAGCCTTCGGGAGGAAGAGAAACAATGGGGGAGGGCGACCAGGGAAGATTGAGAGGGAACAACGGGCCTGGGTGGAAAGTTCGGTTGAACCAGGGGGCCCTCCTATAGAAACGAGCGCGAAAAAAACTTGTTGCTATCGTTGCCGGTCGAGGAGGCGGTGGTATTGTTCACTGCGAGTTGTCTGGGATTTTGCTTTGGGACTCTTACGTGCTTTTTGGGACCTGTTTATGTGGGAAATAAGTAAACACTTGTTCGGCAAGATTGAATAAATTTTTAAGTATTTAATAACTATTGCTAAGTATTGCTATTTCATTATACAAAGTATGAAACTTACAGTGCAAGTCGAACAATTAACCTACTGTTGATTAAAAAAACATTTGGTTTCATAATATTGTTTGATATAAGAGAGTACAATTCAACTTTGGGTTATTAATTTCACTTTTTCTAGAAATTTCATATTTCCATTCCACTGCAATTTATTTGGTTAAAAAGGCATGGTGTGAAATGGTTAAGTTCTGAAAACCAAGTCTGGTTCTGCATTTAATCTCCTTCGGTTCCTCCTATTTCTATTATTTTTGTAAGAGTAGGAGGAAGGGATCGAAGATAGGAGAAATTCACAATTGGGTGTCTTCAGTAGCGACACAGTCAATTAGGCGAATAATAAAAGCCATTACGTAATGAAGAGTAGAATGAACGATACAGAGGCCAGGATATCAAGATTGATGATATTTTGAGAGAGTGGCGAATTCACCTAACAAAAGGTGAAAACGTGAGATAATGGTGTGTAAAAAGGATACTTTGAATTTTCTGGAAAAAATGTCGAAAATAAATTGGCTTATTTGAAATAAATGGTAAGTAGAATAAGTTTGAAAAGAAAAGGGGGAAAGGGAACGAAATGTAGACGGGAGATGAAGAATATTCTTCGGGTACAATGGCATAGTCTTGGATGAAACACTGTCAGAGAAATACTGGAATAAGGTAAAATTAGCACGGAGTCTGAGGTGGCGCGGTGGATAGGACGTCTGCCTTCTATGCCGAGGGTCCCGGGTTCGAATCTCGTGACACCCAAAGGATAATTTTCACGGATATATTAGCACGTAGAATAACTAATTGCAACACTGGATCCATGATAACTCTATTATAATACTTAGAGATCCTTCAAATAAACGTAAAAAAAAGTAAAAAAAAAAAAATTCTTCC